TCTCCATGGCAACAGCCAACCCCCGGCAGCCCCCCCCCCCGCCGGCCTCTGCAGGTCTCGCGAGAGGATCCCCCGTTACTATGGCGACTGGGAGACTCCGGGCCTAGGCCAGAGGCTGCGCCGAGGTCGCGCAGGTACCGGGGGGCGACGAGGAGCCGGGGGGGTGCTGGGCTTAGTTGTGCTGCTGCCAGCGTGGGGGACGGCCCCGGGATCCGCCCTGGGTGGGTGTGGGGGGTATATGTGTGTGCATGTGCACACGTGTGTGTATGGGAGTGTGTGTATATGTGTGTCTACAGGAGTGTGTATAGATGTGCGCATGTGTGTGGACAGGCGTGTGTGTGTATGTGCACGTGTGTGTATGGGGTAGGGTGTTTGTATGTGTCCCCACAGGAGTGGGTATATGTGTGTCTACAGGGGTATGTATATGTGTGTGCATGTGCACACGTGTGTATGGGAGTGTGCGTGCACAGGAGTGTGTATATGTGTGTGTATGTGCGCACATGTGTGTATGGATGCGTGTGGGTGTGCACAGGTGTGTATATATGTATATGCATGTGCACGTGTTTATGAGGGTGTGTATATGTGTGTTCACAGGAGTGTGTATATGTGTGTGTAGGTGCACATGTCTGTGTATGGGGTGTACGTGTGTGTGTATATGCATGTGCACAGGAGCATGTACATGTGTGTGGGGCAGGGGGTGTATGTGATAGCCGTGTTGGTCTGAGACGGAAAGAAGTGCACAAGACTAGAGCTCTTGGTCCCGAAATGATCCCTGTTATTAGACCAACTGAGAAATCGCAAAAAAAAATCTTTTTCTGCAAGCTTTCAGGCTCATGCACTGTCATTAGGCTCAGTGAAAGTTCAAGATGGTAAAAACTCCTCATACGTAGGAAATAAACTTCATTTTTGCACAAAGGAAGCATGTGTGTGTGTGTATGCATGTGTACATGTTTGTCTAGTACAGAAACGATGTGGACAAATTGGAGAGAGTCCAGCTGAGGGCAACGAAAGCATTTGGAGGACATGAGTGGTGAGGAGAGGCTGAGGAAGCTGGGCTTGTTTATGCTGCAGAGGAGAAGACCGAGGGGGATTGAATAGTAGCCTTCACCTCCCTGCAGGGGGGTCTCGAAGGGGATGGAGCTGGACTGTCCTCAGTGGTGGCAGATGACTGAACAAGGAGCAATGGGTTCCAGTTGCAGCAAGGGAAGTTGAGGTTGAATATTATGGAAAACTTTCTCACTAGGAGCGTGCTGAAGCACCGGAACAGGCTTCCCCAGAGAGGTGTTGGCACCTCCGCGCCTGGAGACTTTTAAGAACCAGGTAGACAAAGCCCTGGCTGGGATGATCTAGTTGGACATGGTCCTGCTTTGAACAGGGGGTTGGACTAGATGTGACCTCTTAAAGTCCCTTCCAACCGTAATTTTATATTTTGTGTTCATCACAGCCATTGCAGCTCAGCTTTGCCCATTCCAGCAGGCCCCAAAAGTGTGCCTGGCTGGAGCATTTGTTCATTTAGCACTGAGATGTGGGCACCCACAGTACATGCAGGATTGTTGGTACACACTAGCAAACTCCCCCTCCCCCTGCCTTCGAGTACAGTGGTTCTCAGCCTTTTGGGACCTGAGGCATCCCTCTTTAGGCTCAAGCCCCCCTCCTTCCCCCAAATACTAGCTATTAACTTTTCACTTGTTTTTCAGAGATGGAAAAATAGTAATTTTTCTGATGCAAAGAACTCAGGAAGACCACAGCAGGGCAGACTGGTTTTAGCACCGTGGACTCCTGTTTGAAATTTCTGTATTTATCTTGTGAATCATATTTACACACTTAAGGTACACATGTGCCTGTACAGCGACTTTGCTACTGTGCCATGCTTTAGTACTTTCTTCTGGAAGCTCCTTCTGGAAGTACTAAAGCATGGCTCAGTAGCAGCCCATACTGCACTGTATGCCAGGCACACAGTTCTTTTTAGTCACCATTTCACCATAGCAGCACACTATAACGGGGGAGAATGCTGCTATGGCAAAATAGCTGCCGGTCATGTGTAGACGCACGTGGTCGCTACGTCGCCATAGTGTCATGTGTAGATGCACCCTGACAGTGCTAACTGTTGCAGGGCACCCTTGAAAGGATCTCAGGGCACTTCAGAGAGCCATGATGCCCTGGTTGAGATTCAGTTCTAGAATCTGGAGCCAAAACACTGCAGAATCCCCCTTACCAGCTGCAGTGATGGTCTTCAGGACCATCAGCAGCACTGTCTCTAAGGTTTTTTCTATTTCCTAGTATTGGTGCTCTTCCTTGTTTCTTGACCTTCACTTTAAGGCTCCAGTCTGACAAATTGGGCTGCCTTCTGCCTTAAGGCCAAGCCCTGCTACCTAAGTGGAAGTCCATTGATATCAGTGGGACTCCCCATAGCTACAGTAATGTAGAAGGCTTTGGTATGAAGTTGCTTACATGAGAAGGACTACATATTTATTCTAAAAAAGCCCTTAGGAAGGAATAATATTTCTGTTTCAGTAGATGTCACCCACTTGGTTTCTTCTTTTAATTTTGTTCTTTGACAGATTTCAGAATATTCCCTTTGTCTTTCTTCTCTTTAATTGTTTTGCCTTGAATTTTTTAAAAATTATTCTAAAATGTATATGCTTCTCTGTTCTCTTCTCAGACAAAACTGACTGGGAAAAGAAGCCCAGATCCATACCTAGGTCTAGTTTAGGGACCAGGGTAACGCATTGTAGCACTGTGAAATAGCTAAAGTGTAGGCAAGTCCCCTCCTCTGCCCAGTCCAGTGAGTATACAAGATGGAAAAACAAATCAATGCATTTTTCTTTCATTGGCTATAACAAACTTAAGACCTGTAACTATATAAAAAGTGCAAACTTTCCAGATAGATAAATGCTGTTAAAATTGGAAGTGCCCTTTGCTATTTCCTTTTCTTTTGTTTCTCTTCCCAGTTCCAGCTGGTGCAAGGAAATTTCTGCAAAGAAGCCGAGAACTTATTTGTGCTTTCCAATATGGTGCTGGTGGGAGAAGTAGGTGTCGTTCCTAGCGGAAAAGTCTACAGGCAGATCTTCAATGATGAGGTACAGTACTCTGGTTCTGGGCTGAATCACCCATCTGCAAATGGACCAAGATAAGCGCTCTTTTACAACTTCATTTGAAACCTAGGTGAATTGCCCTTTTTCCTAACAAGCTGGCCACCTGTTGGAGGCTTTTAAGGACTTCCGGACTTTGAAAAAATCACCTTAAATTCTCTTGAATGTTGATAAGATTTCATATTTCTTTAGATGAATACACAATTTACATCATTATCTTGATATGCCTTACCTGTGTTGTTTCGTCATTTATATCTTATCACTATTTCATTCTTAAATTTGCTATTAAAATTCATCTACATTTATGTTTGTGAGTATTTAATTTTGGTGGCAATGTCTCTTCAAACCTTTCTTGGTTCTGAGAGTACTTTTGGGGATCAACAATGGGAGATGCAAATATGTATTATTTTATCTCCTGTTCTGCCATCGTTATGCCATATTTTGTCAGTGTTTGTGCCTGCAAGCTCTTTGATCTTTTTTGCTTTTGTTCAGATTAAAGAGGATTGTAATCGCTTGATTATTGTCTTTGAAGGTGTGCTTAGTACGCTCTTTGGAACAAGGGAGAAACAGGGCTGCACAGCATAAGTGTCCTGTGAGCAGTGGAAAAATCCCCCTGGTCAAGGATCTGGAAACATGTGCTGGCAAAGGACTGTTATCTCCTCGCCAACAGAAATGGGTTGAAGGAATGCCCTATGACGACTTCACTGAAAACCCAGTGTTCTACAAGTATGGACTAGAAGTATAACACTATTATAATATATCTGTTTTATGACTAGGTGCAGCAAGATGCAAACATGAAACTGAGAACAAGGAACACTTAAATTGTAATTTTGATCAAGGCACTAATTCTCTGAGGCACTGAAGAGATTATTTTATTAAGCCTCTGTTTTCTCAGGTTAAATAGAAAAATGTTGACCTGCTGTGCATGAACTTTACAAGTATTAATTGAATAAAGTTCAAGCAATACATTTTAGAAAGCAAAACCAAAATGTATTACATGCCTTCTTGTTTCAAACAGTCTAGAAATGTACACTAGTTTCTATTGGTCTTTAAACTGAAGTTAATGTTAGAAAAATGGGTATGTAAATAGGGCTGCTCCTTATTATGCAGATTATTTTCTTTTTGTCTTTAAGGTCAATGTATTTAATTCACTGCTATAAATAGGATTCTTGTTCATTTAGCCCAATGGAGGAAATATAGCCATGGAGGATTGAGATGGAGCCTTCTGCTTCAGTCACCCTTAACAAAATAGCTATTACTTTTCAATGGCAGAATCCCTATTAACAGTGACAGTGATAGGCAGTACAAGATCAAAGTTTGCTTACAGCTCCTAGGTGGAGTTTGCAGTTTACAAAATAATCTTTTGATTTCTAAAGTGAGCAATTTGTTTGTGGAAGAGAACCAATGGAGTGGAAACCATTATTCACATGGAGAGAGACTAAGAAATCTGCCTAAAGTGTAACCATAAATTAAGCTTCTACAATAGGCAGAAATAAAAATAAAGCAAAAATCCAAGTAACACCTGAATTAACAGATCTAATGCATTTATATTTTCATGGTTCCTGCCTCTATTGCACTGAAAAAATGTGAACAATGTTCCTTCTGCTAAATACCTGTTCTCTGTTTCCATTTCAGAGAGGCTACAGTAGTTCAAAAAGTTCAGGAAAGTGAAGATGTGATTGCAGCCCAGGAAGTCAGAGGCCTCGCTGATTTAATTAGTAAATTGTATTCACTTAATTTCATATGCTCTAATCTGCACTTTTAGGATCTACCACGTATTTAGCAACTCACATTGAAACAAGGGTTGGGAAGTATAAAATCTGTCTCGAAAAATACCTGACTTATTTATTACGATTTGGTAGGGATTTTCCAAATGTGGGTGAGGGAATATGCAAAGAAACCTTATTATATTTTGTAGCTATTTGATCACTTAGGTTAGAATGAATTTACCATAGGTACAAACCCAGATGTCTGAAGTCAGTGATGTTCCACATCTTTATGCCAAGTTTGTATTTAGGTAAAATTTTGCGTTTTCTAGTACACAACAGAACCATAAATTATTACAATCTAATTTATACTTGCTTATATATCATAGTGCTTACTTCCTTACAGTGGGGTGGAACAGTGGGGGTGTAGGATTTGCCAGGCAGGGGCTACCCTAAACATGGTGCTGCAGTACTAACAGTCAACATCATCCTTATTTTTTTTCCGTGGCAGTTCCCGAGAAAACAAACAGCAATATCATTGAGCGCCTTGCAAAGGGCAGGCAAGGCCGTCACAATGAAGCGGTGGTTATGATGCAACGGGAGTTAGCCTACATTGGGAGGGTAAGACTGTGCTTTCCACTCTTGGTCACTGGGGAAGATGTACAGGAGTCAGGACTTAGTACCCAGTATCTGACTTAGTATCCAGTATACTTGCCTGTTTCAGGAAATGGAACACTTCATTTTGGAGACCGAAACATTACTTTTAACAAAACTCGCAGAATCTAATAGAAAAATTGAACTTCTTTTAAAGAAGATTGAATGTGACAGTGATCTGGAAGCCTTCTCAATTGAAGTAAGGCAATGCATTTGATGCAATCTCTGTTCCCAGCTCAATTCTTTTTGACTCTGTCAGCTATCTGTATCTGTGTGTCTGTCTGCATATTGTATCATTCTACCTCTTGCCAGAGTTATGTTTTTCATTTTAGATTTTCAAATGGGACTGACATTTCCTTCCTTCTTGCAGAGCTTTGGGCAGTTATGGGATGACATCACCCAAGTCTTATTGCACAGAAGGCAGTGGATTAGAGAGATGGATGAAACCTTAAACAAGTATGAAGTGGCTCGAGCTGAGAAGGTGAGCTGTTGTTTGTTTGAGTATTAATTAAGCACTGCACTAAGGATTTGCTTCAGCCCTGGATAAAGAGCAGTGAACAACTTACTCTGTAGGCTAATGATCTGGTGCTTATTGCCTTCTGCTTCATTACTCGTTCCTTCGGCATCCACTTGAAACAGACAGTGAGAGGAGCATGCCAGCGATACAGTCCTTGCTTCCCTCTCAGACCTTTGCAGTCAAGATGTGAGGAAGCCATGCAAGAGCATAGGAAATGTCTCACTTCTCCTTTGGCCTCTCCATGATTGTTTAATATCAAACTGTGATCATGCCCCTAACTTCCATTGTTAGGTATGTTTATGCTACAGTCAAGAGTGCTGCACATGTCAGTCTGTGAGATCTGGTTAGCTCAGATACCAGTAGCAGTGAAATCAGAGTGGTCTGGGCTATCAGCAGGAGCTGCACCTAGCCAAACAGCACCCTGGATGCTTTCTTGAAGTGCACGCCTGTGAATCTTCATCGCTATTGGTACCCAAACTAGCCAGACTGCAGAGGTGCTGCAGTCACACCTCTGAATACAGTGTGGACATACCCTTGTTTTATGTGCATATCAGACACCAAAACTGGCAACTTATCTGTTATCTGTTTAATTGCAGAGAGAACCAGAGAAGACCTAACTTCTGATTACTAAAACAAGACACAAGCTTCGCTTTAGATATCTAATGTGAAGTTGGTTCAATTATTTACTTTTCTGTACAGCGCTTTTGTGATGATCTTCCTAGTGTGAGGCACATTAGAGAGCTGTTGATTAATTAATGGTGATATTTAATATTTTAGTCACTATTTTACATTAACATTACCAAGTTTTAGAAGAAAAAAATTAATTGGTGTATTTTAAAATCTTACATTTAGTTCTGAACTTATCTGTGCTGCCATATTACATTCAAGCAAGTATTTTTCATAGAAAAAGTAAGTTATGTCTTATTTTAGATCACTTCCTACTTAAGAATCATTGACACTTTGGGCTTTCATTTTTCTCTCCCCTTTGGTTTCCTAGATAAAAGATGTTCTGAAGAAATGCACCAAGATTCTGGAGGATATAGCCTATCTTTTACCCCCTGATATTCACAGATTTGTACATAATGAAGCCATGGTAAGTCATTCCTTTGTATAAGAGGTGCCTCAGAAAGTAGCAAACAGAAATAGTCTCTGTATACCAGAAGGCTTGACTGAACCTTTTTCATCCTTTTTCAAACTAAAAATATTCTACTCTCTCCTTACAGTCATATCACAACTTCTTAGCACTGAAAAGGTGCAAGAATTAAATCATTATTTGTTGTTTCACCATCAATATAGGTGCAGTCTCACCTCCCCAACATATGTTAATATTTTCAGTGCTAAACAGATCATTCTGTTACTAAACATATAGATTCTTTCTCCATACTTCATAGTTAGCCATTAGAAAAAGAAACTGTTCTCACTTAAAATTGACAGTTCCCTCAAGCTAAGTGAGTGATTTAATCAAAATCAAAGCATTTGGTCATTGTGTAATTGACTATATGCATTGCATAGGAGCTTTTATTTCAGCATTTTGTTAAATTTATGGCATGTTTCTCGCCAAATCAGCTGACACGACAATTCTGGTGAGTATCTTGCCAGTGGGGCTGTTCCTAAACTGGACGTTTTCAAGAAATCCCTTACCATTGAAGCTCCACAACTGTGAGACATTTCTTGACCATCATAAGTCAATCAGTGGATAATAACTGTTGCTTCAAAGGGAGACCCAAACCCTTGCAAAGTGTGTGTATGGCTGTTGTGCAGTGTTTGAATGTCTGGGTTTTTTTGTTTTTTGTTCAGCTCTCTTGTTCCAAAGAAGTCAAACAAGTCAACCATCCATCTTCTTTGTACAAAATGCTCCCCATTTACTTACTCTTCATCCAGCTCTGTCTTCTAGTTCAGTGCATTGCAACGCCTATAAAAAAATCTATAGCTTCAGTGTTTTTTGTGTCTTGCACTGTCCTTTATCCTTCTTTGTATCTTGTAATACACAGATGATTAACCAAGCCCTACTGGCCAATCGGAGGGCAATTGCCAAGCTGTTTGTTAATCTGATGGAGGCAGACCTGAAGAAGGAGCTATCTCTAAGGTTCAAATGGCAAGACAGGGTGAAGGACTGGAAGATCATGCAGAAGGACTATGTGGTACATAGTTTCAGGTGTGAAATTCTGCAACAAATTATGTTTTGGAGTCTGAATAAAACTAAATTAACAAAAGTTGTCTGTGCTTCTATTACAGATGATCTTTGATTCTGCTCCCGTTGTGAATCTGAAAGTCTTTTTGGCCATTATACTATTAGGGCATCCTTTTTAATGACTGAGAATTATATAGGTCCAAGTAATTTTTAGGTTTCAAGATATAACTTGCCCCAAACATGTTACTTCAGTGCACATTTGTTTTCTGCAGAAAATTTATGGCAAGTGAGGAGATACAGAACCCCCTGGAAGTAAAAAGAGACTTGGAGAACATGAAAAAGGACCAGATTTCACTTGATAGCCAGAGAATGAAACTTCTGCAGCATCTTAGGTATGGAGAGAGTGACAGTAATAATAGCATTTCTTACTATAGTGAATAAAGAGCCTGATTCACCTTTGTGAAATGGAGTAACACAGTAGTGAATCAAGCTTCAACTTCTTTTTTTAAATAAATCTTTCAGAGCTGAGGAGAAGGAGGGGGCTTTTGATTTTTATTGGTCAGATTTTGTGAGTTAAATGTACCATTGTTATTATCTTAGAGTAGCTGCAAGGGTAGAAGTCATTGACACTGAAAGTATAATAGAAATAGTAAAAGCTAAGGATGGATGATTAAGTAAGATTCCATGACCCAAAATTGGTTTGATTTAAAATGGTGGTGTTGGTTTGAGAAATGTGAGACTGGTATGTATAATAAGTTATAAACTACAATTAACTGGTAGAGTAGGTGAAGGAAATCTTAAATTTGTCTTCCTGAGATTCCCTTCATCCTAAAGAAGCATGTATGTGTGTAACTTAAACAGTGTAAATTTAAAATAGTGATCCCTTTTGGTTTACATTTTTAAATGGGAGCTAAACAGATGGCTAGGCTTTTTGGAGGGCGATACCTTTCACAGGATCAGCTGCAGAGGATGGTTGTTTAAAAAAAAGATATCGCCCTCCCCAAAAAGTCCTTGCCTCTTATTTCCAGGACCATCACGACTACAACATCACTCCAGCGCTACCACAACTAACCAGATGACACTGTAGTTCATTTGCAGACAGCAGCTGCTTTGTCAGAATTGCAGTTGCCTTGATGGTTTTACCTTGATTTAGCTGAAAGTTTGTCTTCCAGCCAACAGAATGTGGAAACTCAATAGTGTTCTTGTACAAGCTAATAGTTTTAACCTACTGAGAGACTGGATTATGTTTGAAGATATGTGACTCTTGTTTTCTATTCTGGTAGTGATTTTTTGCCTTCAACACACAAAAAAGCTGAGATAAATGAATGGTATGAATCTCTTACGGCTTTAAACAAACGTATAGGTAAGCAAGGAAATCACTGAAATGACTGAGAATCAATCATCTCTGTTTCTTGGACAATGACCAAACTGTATCTTTTGGCTGTATATCTTTGCTGTCCTTTTGGTCTTCTATAGTCTTTTTTCTTCTTTAAAATAACAAGGAAACTTTTTCTGAAGGGATTCCTTTCTCTGAATCTTACAATGTGCCTCTCTTGCTATGTGTTCTGTATTTTAAATTGTAAACTATCTGGGGCAGGTGCTGTCTTTTTTCATTTGTAGCTTATTTAACAGCAATCATATTGCAGGGACCTAATAAGTAATAAGCCACTGTTTCTAAGAATTGTGGCAAAAAAATGCGAGTAGAATCCAGCCAAGGATACTATACTGGCTAATAAAGCCTGATACATGAGGGCCAGGAGCTAGGGTGCCATCAGGGAAAAGAGGGGCTAGATACAGCTGTTTCAGTCATGTTCATGAATTCTGTGATGTGAAATAGTGAACTCTTCACATAGAACTTTTTTTTCTCTTTTCTGTTTCAAAAGATACCCACAATGTGCAGTGTATGATGAGAATTCGCCTCCACTACGAGAAAGTCTGGCAAGAATGTCTGACGGAAGTACAGAAGTGCAAGGTTAATGTCACGACTCTCAAAGTTGCTGACTTCAGCAGCCCTTGAAGATTATTTTATAGTAGCATGTAATCTGCTATCATGAGGATGTCTAGTTTGGAGACCCAGAATCAAACCAAATTATTCTGGCCTGGCAACCAGAATTATTCATAAAGTTATTTTTTTATACTGCCACCACCTAGCATATGCATCTGGAATGCGCAGGAGCAGCAGTAACAAATTCTAACTTAGTGAAGGGAACCTTGTCCAGAGTTGCAGTTAGAGTTAAGACCCCAGCATTGCCACTGACTTGCCAGCTGAGCTTGGGACCTTCCTGCTTGGATAGCAAAGGCTTCTGCCTTTCAGGTGCCTAGCCCTCCAGCTTCCTTGAGTCCCCCAAAGAGCAGTTATGCAACAGGGAGATGAGTCTTTCTCCTTTTAACTGCTTTCTCTGACTTAATCTTAAGGCAATGATATATGTGCATAATGAAAGTAGACATGTTAATTGTTTTGCAAGGATTTGAGTAGGTTGGGACTGGATCACAATGAAGTACTGTTTGAGTGCCTAACAGATGGAGCAGGACCTGGTCTTGTAAATAAGTACAAGAAAGACATTTTTGCAAATTATGTAGTAATATTTACAGCTCAGTCACAGGATCCAAATATTACACAGGCATTGCTTTTCTGAAACTGTTACAGCTTGTTTCATATAGTAGTAGCTCACAAAAAATAGTGTTCTTACCAAAATATGAATACATGTTTTCTCAGTATATACATCCACAGACTATACCAAGCTTAAAATTCCTTCGCTCAGGTTTAGTAGTATGTTAACTGTCGTATCAGGTAAATGTCAATAACTCAGTTTTCTTTTCCATTAGAATAAACTGTTGAATTTGAAGGTTTGCACAGAGGAAGAGGCTGAAAAAGTTGTGAACCCTGAATTCTTCCAGCTGATTGGGAATCTACAAAGTCAGTTTGAAGAAGAACTGGAGCAAATGGATGTATGGTTATTAAAGCATTTTCATTGTCTGTGGAGTAGTCATATCCAACATCTGTGCTGCAACTGTATTGATATTTTATTAGAGAGAGTGCCATGATAGCATTATTGCATGCCTCATAAATAGGGAATTTCATAGATTTCATAGATTTCATTTGGGTGATCCAATGATAGATAGTTTATTTTGTTGAGAATTGTTTTTGCAGTGGCTACAGGTGAAAACAGTTGCCCTGTTGTGCTCAAGTTTGTAGATGGCTTTGTGATTACTGTTATTGTGAGGGAAAGATGGTCTTTTAGATCAAGCAAAGAATGGGTACTGGAAGATTTGCATTTTTACTGCCTCTGACACTTGAGTTGCTGCAGGATCTTTGAGATCATAAGATGGAAATTGATATATAAGTGGAAAGATAAAGAAGGAAAACCAATAATGTTTTATTGGTTTGTTCTGGTTTTTACACTGTCAGTTGTTTTTACCTGGGCCATGTTAATTATAGTACATGTAGAAAAGATTTGAATTTACTGTATTTTCCACCCAACATAGATACATTTTATGGTAAATGAACAGAACTTTAGCTCTGTATGTTTGTTAGTGTATACACCTTTGCATGCACATACATTTCAGAGTTCACACGTGAAGTTAGTTTGATGTTGATATATTCACACATGAATATTAGAAGCTTGAAAGCTACTTTTCCATCCATGGGCTCGGACTAATCTGTCACAGTGGTACTTACTATCGTTTATGTAATAGTCGAGGCTCATTGGCACCTTGTTTTGATTTCATCAGTGTAAGAAAAATGCTTACTGAAATTACGCTACTAAAAAGGAAACCAGAAGAGTCCAAATTCAGAGTATGTGCAGTCATTTTTGCACACACCAAACTGCACATTTCATGCATCTTTCCAGGCTCTTTAGCTGAATGCAGTCTCAGAGTCTCAAAGTACTTTCAATAGCAGAGTGGTTCTCCTGTTACCACATACTCTACTGACATGCTAAGTTACTGAAAGTGGTACTGTTAGAAATTATATTGTTGGGTCGGGCAATAGCGGCAGTAATCTAATACCCATAAATACAGAATGGATACCAGTAGCATGAAAGAAGATAGTATTTTTTGATTTTTGATGTACCTTCAGCTGTGCCAGATATTTGTGGGATGCATCCAAGTAGTCATGACAAGTCATCTATCCTTCTATACATCCGTCTCTACTCCCAGTTTAATAATAACTTAATAATAACTGGTTTTCTTAATGTAATTGCTTCAGATAGACTTTGAGGAACTGGCTAAACTGACTGAACAGAATTGCAAAGACTTGTACAGATATTTCCAGGAAGCTCTTGTCCTTTGGGATGTGCATCAACTCAACCTGACCCAGCAAGAAAATGAGCTTCAGATGAAACTGAAGGAGTGCCGTCAAAAACATGAAAACCAAAATCAGGTACAGACCCAGCACTGCTGTGGTGTAAGGGGAATGCTGCTGTCCAAAGATGTCTTGGGTATTCAAAGAATCTACTTCATGGCAAATGAAAATTAGGTGTTTATAATGATTTTTGCTCTTGGAAGGTGGTTGCATACTACTAAATTTAATAGTTGTTTCACATCTGATACATCATTTATAAAGGAAACTTTATCTTATTTATGATGGGAGAATGATTTCATATGTCTAAACAGTATTTTCCATCTCTAGTAGCTATTACTTACAACTATATGTTACTTGCATATTATTGCACATACACATTCAAAAGGAGGATATTGTGTCACTGCAAGACCTTGCATGTTTACCAAGTTACTAGATTATTGTATCCTTTGACTTGCAAGAAAAGGTATTTTTCAAGGCTTTGTTCTTAATCTTCACATGGTGATACCAGCCACCTTTTGGAAACACAGCGGGCAGGACCTCCCCAGTTTGACCCTTTTGGGATGGCTCATGCTGCGGAAATATGCAGTGGAAGCAATAGGTACTTCTTGTAGCTGACTACTTACGTGGAAGACTGGACTGGGCTTTTTTTGTTTCCATCACTGATCCCATTGCCAGCATGTTTGCTTTAACATTGAAAGACTAGATGAGCTACTGCTGCTTAATGCCAGTCACCAGGCAGGCAAACCATGTGGGGCTTGAGAGAAACATACTTACTTGTAATGTCTTCATCACTGCCTTGCTCAGGTAGATGCTAGCTGCGGGGCAAACCCAGTAATTGTTTTTAGTCCTGGAATAGTGGGCCACTTAGAGTGCAGGTATCAGCTAGACCCCAAAGGTAGCTGGGGAATCCACTTCCTTTGCCATCAGATTCTTTGGCTGATACAAAATGCCTGATACAAGCAAGCAATTTTTATCAGATAGACTTTACTTCTCTTGCTCTGGTGAATGACAAGCATTGTGTTTGCTTATGAGCAGTAGCCTTGGAGACAAGGCTTACAACACCCACATGACATGTGCTTACTGTTTTACTGTTTCAAGATCTTGAAAACTTCATTTAGATACATTTTCTTCTCTGTTATTCTCTACCGTTCACATAGAGCTGGGCCCATGCACATAATGCTACCAAAAACAGTCCTCTTAAGGGTCATTGGTAGGGCATCTTTACACATGCTTTAGAGGGGAGGGTGCTTTAATTAGAGCAGCTCCAAGAGCCACTCTAATTAAAGTGCCTGCAGCAGTCATGTATTCAGCATTCAATGCTTCAAAATGGCAGGGCGCTTTAACTAAAGCTCATTCAACACACTAAAGCACATCAGAGCAGTGTCTCTGCACGTCTACAGGCACCCTTACATTTTGGGACAGTGATTGTCTTCATGCAGAAATAAGGAACTAGGGACATGGTAGATCAAATATGGAGGCTTTTTAAACTAAACAATTCTCATTTAAAGATTTGGACATTTATTCACTAAAAATCTAAATAAATAAGAAATGTTTGGGCATTTTACCCCTTTATGATGATTGTTTTTTTTTCATATGTGCCTAGATACAGGAACTTAATCTGGATATAATTTTGGATAAATTGAGGACACAGAGCAATGAAGGAAAACTGACAAGTCATTTGGAAAGGGCCTTTTCTTCTCTGGATGACATTAGAGCTGGGTATGCATTCAGGAGTGAAAGTGTAGTGAACAGTGTGCTGAGTGAAGGATGGCCAAAGCTTAGTAATACCCTTCTTGTCATGTTTATGCTTGTGTTTTAAATGCGGTTGTAGAAGAGCATTATTTGTTACTTCACCTGTATGAAGCATAAGGTAAACTAAGATCCTCTTTGACCTTTTTGTACCTGGTTGAAAAAGGCAAAAAAACTTATTGATGCCCTTTAAAAACTCAGCTTTTTTTAAAGAGTAAGGGCAAACACCAAGAAAAATGAATGTACAATTTAAGAAAGATACCTTAGATTGGATTTCTTGGATAGACATCATTTGTATTCTGTATTGCGCTAAGTAACCTCATAACATTCTGTCATGATAAATTCATGATTTAATCACAAGAAAATGCAGTGGAACCAGAAATTCAAGATTCTGGATAATGGGATTGCATTGGTCAAGAGATTAATTTATGCTAAAAATTTCATGTTGAGACCACTCATTAAAGGACACGAGTTTTCAGCAACCAGTTATTTCTAAGTGACAGATGGACCAGGTATAATTTTCAGTTCAGTTTCTGGTAAACAGATGTTTGCATCATTAAAAGTGACAGTCAGAGTTGCCACAAGTAGTTCTTCATGTGAAAAATCTTAGCAGAGAAGCCTAGACAAAGTAGTATCTTTTCATGCCCAGCAAGTGATCTCTCCATATCAGAGATGAGGTATGTTACTAAGGCAGTTGTCTGGAACAGCTATATTTTGTACCTGTTGCATGGATAATCCAGGCATGTTAGTTCAGCACTTCTAATATTCACCAAAATCACTTTTATAAAAGTCTGAACAGTGACAATCTTCATGAGGGTGAGGATAGGATGAAAGCTTCAGAGGTACAAGTCATCTGTCTAAACACATACCTAATCTTGAGCAGTATTTTTTTTATTTCTCGTTTGTCACCACAAGGCTTAGGTCGCGATACAGTGGTCTGTTACAAGCTAGTAGTGAGACATATTTCAAACCTTTAGAGGAGATTTATTATATAGTTTTTAGTTTCATTTTTTCTCCTTGTTTGTATTGTGGCAGTGCCTAGGAGCCCCAGAGACCAGGACCTAATTTACTAGGTGCTGTACAAATGTGGACTAGTAATTGGTTCCTGCCCCAGAGAGCTCATAAAATTTTGAGGAGGTTAGAAGCTGATGGAAATATGTTATATTCACCTTTTAGTTGTGTTAAATTGTGTAATGAAGTCTCTTAAATAACAGTCTGGTATTTGGCAGGTATGAAACCTACCACCAAGACATAGTGGAGAGAGTAGCGGCCTATCCAGAAGCCATACTGAAGGAACTGATCGCATATAGCACATCCATCAGCCAATACTTTAATGTAAAGGAAGTCTTTCAACAGGTACAAAGAAAACAAACAGGGTGGTTTAAAATCCTGCTGGTGTGTTAGATGTTCATCTTTGGGAAATTTTCACTTAACCTTTCAAAAGCTATACGTTTACAAATGATTCTTTTCAGTGGGAAAAAAGTCCAGTTTAAACAGTATAACATATAAAAAACTAGAACTCTTGGTTCCAAAATGATACCTTTTATTAGACCAACTGGAAAATGGCAAGAAAATTGTCCTTTTAACAGTTTAAACATTGGTGGAATAGATTTAATTTGTGCAATTGATATGGTGTTAACATAGTTCCAAAGAAGCAAGTTGTCATTATTTTTTCCTGTTAGGGCTTGCCGGAGGAGACAGGCTCTGCCTCTGAAGAGCAAGGTAATGTCTCAATAGTACTAGTATTATCTTATGTTTTAACTGTGTTTGTTTGGATTGTGACTGATGAAACTTCTGCCCTCTTTTTGTGGGGAAGAATTAGTGGAGGATTCAGAAACTGAAAATATAGAAGAGCAGCAAGAGGCTGAGAGTTTTTCAAGAGAAAGCGAAGAAGCAGAGCAATGTTCTGAGAGCCTCCAGCAAGAAAATGAGGAAACAAATGCAGGTGAGGATAAGGAGAGCTTAGCACAAGAAGCTGAAGAAGCAGAAAAACAAGGGGCTGGGGAGACCTCTGCTCAAGGAAGTGAAGGAACTGATCAGTTAGAAGAAAGTGATAATTTTGCACAACAAAGGGAAGAAGCAGAAATATTTGAGGATGAAGAGAATCAAGAGTGTAAAGAGGATGATTTGCAAGGCATTCTTCCGGAGGTAGGCCTATATTTTTTTCATAAAAATTTGATCAGCCTCAGCACAAGTGCACACTTGGTGATGTTTATACATACAAACTACATTTGATTCTTTACTGAGTGATCTTAGAGATGGTCTGCATCACGTACCATTAAAGTTTAAGGCGCAGCTTTAGACTCTGTAAGATGGTGAAGCTCATATATCAGTATATGATCATTCTCTCTGCACTTTTCTTGCCCTTGTAGAAACAAATAATCTAAACAAAGATTTCTGATCTGGCCCCGTTTTATTCCTGCATTTGGTATTGTTGATCTGTCTTCATTGTGATGTAAAGCTATGTACATCAGCGTTTCATTTTCAGATTGCACTTAAAGAGCATTTTATGACAGTGGTATGTATACCTGTGGATAGGTGCCAGTTGGTGGGAGGATATTAAAACAAAGTTAGGTTAAGTACAGTCTCTCATCTTGTATCTAGCCTTATCCTCTGTGGGTCCTCCACCTCACTGCAACTGTATCTTGAACTGCAATCTTCCTGATCGATTGTCACTAATTGCCTTACTACCACAACCAACCAGGAACCAGTGGATGCCTTGGAAAAGGTGTCTCAGCTGAAAATAATTATTTTCTTGAACATTTTATTGTTTCTTCTGCTAGAGAGAAAAATAGTTGTAATATTCCTTTAAAGACTTATGGATAGCTGAAGAAAACCTCTAAGAAATTCTTCAGTTCTTCAAAACAAAACAGAACACGCCATGCATACCTTTTTCCTAGTCATTCTATAAAGTTTGAATAGTAACATTCCTGGAGATAGCTTCAAACTTCCACAGTTCAGTATTAGGGTGTTCTCTATTAGTCTAAGGATAGCAAATGGCCATGTCATTGTTAGCAACTCTTCCCCTCATGAAAATACTTCTAGAGTACAGCAAAGGATCAGAGTATTGAGACACTGAAGATATTTTTCTGTTGTATGTATGCTTTCCATGCTAGGAACCAGAATATTGTTCCTGAAATCCACGGGATAATATTTTCCAAGTTAGTAGACTTACACTCATGAAAACTTACTGGTTATAAAAGTTATAGATAATGGCTTCCTATTACTTTCCTAGATCACATTGTCTGACTGTGACGAGACAGAAAGCTCTGAAATTATAGCTGAGGTCTTCTTCACCACTAGTGGAAACCCTTACTCTGTCATTAGCTGCAAGGAGTCTGACCAAACCAAGACCAAAGAGATTTGTTGTACTAAACTTGAAAAAAAAGATCCACTTCCTATGTACCTGAAGCATGTGCTTATACCAGGCAGCTTGCTGGAAGAGCTCAAGAAACGGTTAGTAGGAAATAGTTTCTCTTTATTTTTCTTTATTAAGTTATGGGGAAATCTCAAAAAAGATGAAGGGAAAGTTTGAATGAGCATCCAAAAGCTATCTGAATATTTTAATGCTATGTTTTATGACTCTTTCACAAAAATAAGGAACAGTTTTTATTGCCTTCCATCCACATCTGCCAAGGTACCAGCATTGTGCCAACACTGTAACTCTGAAGAGTTTATTTGTCTAACGAATAAAAGCATCAGTCTGCCTCACATATGCCCACAAAACACCAAGATTCCCTTGCACTGCTATATGCTTATATTTAAATTCTAGGATTCGTCTAGGATTTTTTGAGCACCTGGAGATGTGGTTTGCCCAGTCCTTGTCCAATGCCTGCATCATTGTAACTGCTAAGAAAGAGGAACTGAATTCAGAATTCCAGCTTCGTCTTCATCTGCATGAACCAAGGCATGAACGCATAGAAAAGGAAATCCATGATGTCAGGGCTGGTACATGCTTCTTCACTTTAGTTATCACACCTCATTTTATGGTTATCACACCTCATTTTATGAGCTCTCCAAGTATGAATCAAAGTCTGGGACAATAAAAATGTTAATTGATTCAGTATCAGAGAATAACATGATGTAACTGACTTGATTTGGAATGGCCTTCACTAGCTCCTCTGTAAATCATAGAATCAATGAGTTGGAAGGGACCTAGACAGATCATCAAGTCCTAACCCCTGCCATGGGCAGGAATGACACTGGGGGTGGGAGGGGTCATAAGACCCCAGCCAGGTGCCTATCCAGTCTCCTCTAGAAGATTTCCAGGGAAGGAGAGAGCACCACCTCTCTGGGAAGCCCATTCCAGGCTCTGGCCACCCTTACTGTGAAGTAGTTCTTCCTAATATCTAACCTAAACCTATCCTCCCTCAGCTTGTGGCCATAGTTCCTAGTGACTGCAAGGGGGGCCCTGGTGAACAGACTTTCCCCAAGTCCCTGCTGCTGGCCCCTGATTAGGTTGTAGGCAGCCACAAGTTCCCCCCAACTAAATGTTAGTTGCTTGCATGCTATTTTTTAAAAAACACTTTTTTATCCCTCACATCTGTTTCTTTCTAGAATTCACTGAAAAGAGATTCATCAGTGGTCCTGGGATTGATTGTTAAAGATGCAAAGCATCCACAGCTTCTCTTAAAGTGTGATACTGCAGCTAGTAAAGCGAGCAAAACGCTGGCTTGCATCCATAGATGCTTCTCAAGCAGATCCCGGGACATAACTCTCCTGCTGCACTCAGCCTTGGTGAGGCTGCAGCTGGAGTACTGCATCCAGTTTTGGGCTCTGCAATTCAAAAAGGATGTGGAGAGGCTTGAGAGGGTGCAGAGGAGAGCCATGTGCACGATCAGAGGTCAGGAAAACAGACCTTATGATGAGAGGCTGAGAGCCATGGGGCTATTCAGCCTGGAAAAGCACAGACTCAGTGGTGATCTGGTGGCCACCTATAAGCTTATCAGGGGTGCTCATCAGGATCTGGGGGAACAACTGTTCACCAGAGCCCCCAAGGGATGAACAAGATCAAGCGGTCACAAACTCCACTGTGACCAGTTCAGGCTGGACGTAAGGAAGAACTTCTTCACTGTCTGAGCCCCCAAGGTTTGGAACAGACTGCCACCTGAGGCAGTTCAAGCGCCCAATTTGAACACCTTCAAAACACATTTGGATGCTTAACTTGCTGGGATCCTATGATCGCTGCTGACTTCCTGCCCCTCGGGCTGGGGGCTGGATTCAATGATCCTCCGGGGTCCCTTCCAGCCCAAATGTCTATGAAATAAAGTGAATGGGAGTTGTGGTGCCTGACAGCCTTGAAAATCAATTAGCCAGGGTTTGACATTACAGAAAAAGATTTTAGAAACCCTCATGAGAAAGAAGGGACAAGTGCTAAAGGTGAAGTGCTAAGGGTTGGTTTGGGTACATGAAGAGGAGGAGTGAGGGGCTTAAAACACCACTGAGGTTGGAGCTGACTGGAAAATGGAATTTCTGCCCCATAGAAAGTTTCAGTTTTTTAGAAATGCTTTAATCCTGCTTCAGAACAAAGAGTTAAAGCCTTGGAATTTTCGTAGGACAGAAGTTCTGAAAAATTCTCCTTTGGGAAAAGTGAAACAGAATTTTTGGCTTGCCAAAACAAGGACTTTCCCAATAGCTCAGCCACCATCAGCTTATGTCACTGTCTGCCTCTCTGGCAGCTTCCCTGCTTGCACGCTGCCTGACTGGTTTTTTAGGCATAACACCAGGGAGCCAGATGGGGTATCAGTGTTTTTCATCTATATTGATGAAAGTGCATTTGACCTCCAAAAATCATTTAGAAGGAAATGTCCTGAGGAGCTCTACTGAGGTGGTGAGACTGGGCAATGGGAAGGGGAACAGATATATCAACAGGATTGAGAAGGGAGAGAAGGGAAAGAACTTGGAAGTGAAAAGGAGTTTTACAGTTTCAGAGGTGTCAGAGATGTTCAGAAATGGGAGGAAGGTCAAGGACACAGAGACCTCTTTGTGATTTATCTGTCTTAATGTCATGCCCATTAAGTGCTCATCTGACATTTTTCACTCTTGCGTTCTCCTACAAACTTGCAAGGTTTCACACCGCCAGCCATATTCTCTTGAGCATAGTGGCTAGTAGTTGAGGTAAGCCTTAATAACCAGGACATAATGGGCATATTAAAGCATTTCCTTTCCTTTCAGCGGAGCTGGCACATCACCAAGATCGTCTGGAAAGTCACTGCACAGCATTGTTGGAAGCTCTGAACAAAGAGAAAAGTGAGTTTCTGAAAATCCGAGAGCGTCAAAATGACATCAGCAAGGAGTTCCGTGCACAGATACAGGACATGGAGTCCATCTTCCTCACTGCCTGTAATGCTGAAAAGTAAGTGTGTCATGAGTTTGCTATTCCTGAGATTGCTATCGTGGAGTTTTTCTCTACACTTGGCTTACATTCTGGATCTGCCTGATCCCAGGCTTCCTGAACAGCAGCACAGATTCCTGACACTGCGTTAGTCTGAAGGATTTATTGTACTACGTAATCGCCTGGCATTTCACGTAACTGAGGTATTGTTTTTATCCCTGCTCCACTTTCAGCACTTTTCTCATCACAGAATATTTGGAAGGTCTCTCCCATATTACTCTGCATACCTTTGAGTGAAAGTCATTGTAGAAAAGAAAATCCTTAGTTATTGGAGTTAGTTTCCATTCCCTCTCATAGTGCATTGTAATACTTACAAACCCCAAGTACAGTTGAGTAAGTTAGTTTAGGCACTAGTAGGCAAAATGGAAGTTAATATCCAAAAGGTAACAGCTTTTATACCATACTCGTTAATATATGTTACCTGATAAACTGTTAGGCAAAAGTAAAGGACCTCATTGTGGTTTTGTTAAATCTCCTTGTTAAAAAATTAAAGTCAAGGTGAATTTATTATAATTTAAAATTAAATTAAAATGGTTTCACTATCCTGGTAAGTAGCTAGATAGGATACAACAATACCCGTTCCTTTAGTAGTATCAACTGGTTGTGAATAACATGTACTGTATGTACAGTTAGCCAATGATTTGGCTGCTTTATGCATCAAAGAATGTATAATGGAGAGGAATCTAAGATGCATAGTCATTACATTCTCATTTTTCATTTTGCTTTATAAACCAGCAGCCTTTGAACCAGAACATCTGTTCCATAGATTTCTCTGAAAAAAAGCTGTCTTTTCTATTAGGTTGATTTCTCTAAGCAACATTCTGCATTCAGAGATGCGTAATCATGTGGAAGTTATCCAGATTTCCCTCCGGAGTTTCCGGAACTACTTGGAGGAAGCTTTGAGAAAATTACGAGATTCAAATATGGACTTCCTTAAGTCTTGCAGGTATCGGGTGATCTGGGGTGTGTTGGTCGTCTTTCTCTAAATAACTTTATCCCTGTAAATCAGCTGCATATACCTCAATTTCTCTCTCCCTATCTCCTTACAAGAATTAAATTTGATAATTTATTGCCAAGTCGGTACAATAAAATTAAAGTATGTCCTTTAAAAATGTAGACATGCTGTTGTTATAATAATATTTTAATCCCTGGAATAGATACATAACAGTTAAGATTATAAAATTATAACTATTCAGTTAAAAAAATTTTGGGGCAGTGGAAGAACCCAAGTCAATTTGCGTGTTTGTTTCCTGCCTGCTATGTTTAGATTATTTTCAGAGGGAGGTAACTTTTCTTCAGAAGAGGTAGAGCTTTTTTGCAAGCATCTAGAGCAAGAAACTGCACGCATTGACTTTGTTGAAGGAATAATTATGGGGGATATGGAGAAGATGGAGTCAAACTACCTAGAACAGGTATGTAGGTCTAGTATTCAGATTAACTGCTGCAGCTAAAATAACCTTTCTCATTTCCCTGTTTCTAGATTTGGGTTGAGAGCCTGTCTTTATTAATGTGTTCATGACCCTTTAGCGATGGGAAGCATTATAGAAGTGCTGAGTGTTATCTTAGACAAAGACATTCATGAATAAATTACTCCAGCCACAAGTGTGGGAAAGAGTGCTGCCAAACTGGCAGGCACAAAATATACTGTAAGTGTAAAGTAAAACTATACATGCATTGGCATGAGCAGATTCAGCATAAGGTAATTTAAGATTCACACATGCAGATTCAGCACATTCATATATTTCACAGTAGCTATTGCTATTAAAGGTTAGAATAGGTTTAATTTGTACTTTTTGCGTTTCGTGATTTTTGTCATTTGCATCCCAGGCTAATGAAGTTATCGGCAAGTTTGAATCAAAGTTCCATTATCTTGCTGTGGATCGACTCTTCATGGATAAAATCCAGCGATTCCTGACAAATCTACAGGTGAAAATCAAATCAGAGGTAAGAAGAAAACTATCAAAACTTTTATTTTGTTACATCTCAATCATTATATAAAGCACTTATTCCATCACTGACTTCTGGCTGGGTTTGAAGAGGTTTACACACTGATGGAACAGAGAGTGCAGTGGCTTTTTTCTCTTTATTTAAGAACTATATATCCTTGCCAGTCTTTAAAATATCAAAACCTTAATTGTATGATGCAACTCTAACCACATATATGTGAATAAACCAGACATCTGCTCAGTATAGGCTATGAAAAGTACTGTTGCTGCTGTAAATCAATTAATTCATTCCCCATTTTTGGAACCTATGATTTAGTGGTTTTACTCTTTGAAAATATGCATTATTCCCTCCATGAGGATCTGAAACCTGTGTCTCCTCATGACTGAAGAAATACTCTGATACTTGTGTGCACATTTCCATTTTTACCAGTGTCACATGAATTTAAACTTCATTAACATCTTCTGCTGTAGGTAGCGAACTCCAATTTGCAGGCACAGACATTAAACTCCTATTTGGAGAAGTTCCTCATGAAAATAGATGCTTGTGCTCATCCTACTGCAGATAAAGAAGTAAGTTCCAAAGAGACCTCGTGAATTTGACTCACTGTACACATTTGTAGAGGTCTGGACCCATCCACCACTGTTCATTGTGGTCCAATGGACATGCGGTATGCTGGACTGTAGGTTTTTGGGATGTCACCAAACCAGGAAAGGACAGAAGTGTGCACACATTAACATGGATTGTCTTTTAAATTAAAACAATGCCAGGGATTGTAAGTAAGGCTTTTTGAGAATCATGAATTTTGGTCACTAGGCTGGAAGTTAGGTAGGTAATGGCAGTCCACTCCCTTTACATTCTCAGGGAGTCTCAAGTCTGACTCCTGTCTAAAAAAAGAATATTCTTGCAACATCATAATCGATAACCATTCCCAGAGTTCATGGTACAGCCAGTTAATGTGCAAGAAGTTTATTTGGGGAATCCAAATATTGATCACCAGCAAAAATTAAGATGAGTCTGCAAGTATGTAGACTGTAGAGGCTTTATCCAGACTACTCTGTGGCAGTCCTTGAAGCCAAGCTATTACCCTTTGCATTTAATAGTCATTGGCTGAAATGAGGGGAGAGCAGTACCCTGTCAGTCATTTTTAAAAAAAAGAAAAATTCTGTTTCTACAGACAATGACTTTGTCTCTGGATTTCTGTGTGAGGGTGAGAGAGCAGATTAGAAATGCTAAATGAATGTAATAGATAATTAGCATTTACCAAACTCACTATTTTATGTAACAAAATACCTTCTACGTTATCCTTTCTTGGTAATTAGGCTGTTACTGCAGAAGAGCTGTTTGACTTCGCCAAAGTGGTGATGAAAGAGGTGAAAAAAAGGAGCAAATACCTTGACTGTCTAGTGGTAAATACAGTCATCTCCTACTATATTTTAGTGTAATATTAGCTAACCTCTCTGTGTTTTATTTAACCTTTAGGTGAATGTTATGACACAAGTGCACAGTATTTTGATTATTCCTATATTTAAAAAGGCTTTTCTTAGCCCATTATTTTGAATTTTCAAGTAAAGAATCAATATGCTTCCAAATTCTCACAAGCTGCCCAAGAGGTGGGTATAGAGAGCCTAATCCTGCAAAGCATTGAGCATTCTCAGCTACCAGTGAGGCTAGCAGAAGTTGAGGCTGCTGCATACCATCCTAGAGGTGCTCACTTCTTTGCAGGAGCTGGTCCTTAATGAATGATACTGAAGGGTGGGAGGTGTTTTAAAAAGAAGAGTTTCATTGGATAGTGGTCTTAGCATCAGAGGATTCATTTTACTTATTAATTGGATTGTCTTCCCCACAGAGTGGTTTTATTTTATAATCAAGAGGAGTGATACCCAAACATTTTGGCCCAACTGACCACTTGCAACCCTCAACATTTCTCATGCACCTACACGCACCCTTATCATCAAACCTGAAAATACTGTACAGGCAGGTGGGGCCCAGTGTGGTCTGCAGACAAACTCTGGACTACTTACCATGGTCTTATGAACTACCTCTGGGCTGTGGACCTTGGTTTGGGATCACTAATACAAAGTTAATCGTTGGTTTAAGACTGTCTATTTGGATATTGCTTGTTTTGATTCCAGTAATACTTGTTAGCTCTCATAGCTGCAGAATGAGAGTAACTTATTTTAAATGTTACATATTTAAGATGGCCTTTCTTCCAACCCATGCATGGGACAGTGTGCACAGTGGCTAGAAATATACTTGAGAAATGAATGCCTGTATGAAATAACTGCATACCCATCTGTTAATTACATTCAGTAGGATTTTCTTCTCTTCCACCTCCAGGTTCCCAGTTTAATTTTGCCAGAGATTGTCATACAAGGCTCTCTCACTGCAGCAGTTCGAACAGAGAGTCTCAGAGAGGAGAACAAGGTGATGGTTATGGGGATAGAGAATACTCCACTGTTGAATCCAAGCCGAATGGGAAAGCCAGCAGTTGATGATGTAGCAGTAAGCGTCATCAAAAATTTACTCCAGTGAGTGAATGTTATTCCATTCATTTCCATGTCTAAAGTTGTTATTCCCTCAACTTATTTATTTAATATTTTGCTCATTGCAATTACATCTTATTTTCATGAGGTTCCCAGGACAATTGTGCAAAGATATTCCATATATTTGTTATTTTTACTCTTGTAGAATAAAAAGGTCCCACTGAATTTAAATCATCCAGTTAATCTTTGTGCCAGTGCAGGATTGAAACATACATGAGCAGTACTTTATCTAGTGTTTTGTCCAGCCTAGTTTTAAAAATCCTGACCAGTGGGACTTTTGCTTCATTAAGAGTGAACTCTTTCACAACCTAAAATATCTCACTGTCTTGCTGTTAGTAATAAAATTGCACTAATGCAGCTACAATATTGTAAAAACAGATGTTAATCAGCTACTAATTTTTTACTTCTATTTGGATGAAAGGGTGATTAAATGCTACGTAAAGGTATAAGAAAATGGATACAGTAAGGAGCAAGAAGATTATGGCCGTCATATAAGCAGAAGCCCAAATCATTTTCAATAGCATGTTTGAGTGTGCAGTTGTTCTTGTAGAAACTCCTAATTTCCAATTTGACCCGATGGGTTAAATAGTCTCTATACAAGTTTTATGCTTACACATGACCCTATCTCGCAGATAAATCTTCAGTCAGACCTTGGCAGAGATAGAGAACTGGGATTTTAGCAGCCATATAGCTCTTTCTTTTTGTTTCAGAATTCAGCAACCCAAAAAATCCATAGAGCTGCGGCATGAGAGAGATGAACTCACGCAGTCAAAATCAATTGGTATGCAAGCAGCTCTTGTATGACTGACGTTCTTTTCTTTTGTACTGATAGAGAGGGAGAGAGAGAAGAGACTACTTGGTAACTCTTAACATGCGGCTGTGAGCAGACATAAAGAGACCTCCATAAAGCTGCAAGCCACTTTTCTCTCCTGCCTCCTGTATACATGTTAACTGACCACTTGTGCACCTGTGTGCCCAGCCTTCTTTGGGGATATGGTGTGCTGGCAAATACAGTGGGGATGAGTACGTGATAGCTGTTGTTAGCTCTTGAGTGCAGTCTTGAGACCTCTGGAGAAATCCTGACCTGCTGTTTATGAAAAGCAAAGAGGCTTGAGTCTACAAAGGTTGAACCACCAGTTAAACAGTAACCTGGAGAGGGAGAAACTCACTTCTTTTACCCACAGTAGTGATAGCAGAGTCCTTCCCATGGACCTTGCTGGAGCAGCCTACGTACATCCCAAGAGACAAGCTCCTGAATTTCTGGGTGTTTAATCTAGTTCTCAAACCTTTTGAGGTTCTCTCTTCACTTGAGGCATTCAGTACTCAGCACAGAAATAAGAACATGCTATATAATTGTACAGGGAGGGCTTAATATTGATTTTATAGAATTTCTTCCTTTTTCCTTATAAAGCAACTCACCTATCCACCACAACACAGAAGGAGTCAGGGTTAAACATGGTAAATGAAAATGTCCAGACCTATCCATCTTTCCTTGCTGCTCCTGTTGCACCCAAGAAGTCTGTCTCTGTGAACAAAAGGCTCTCTGATTCAGCAAGGTAAGGCCCATGGGAGGAGAAATCCCATTTTCCTTCTGTATCTTCTTCTTTCTGCTTGTCTAACACTGCGTAGCTCTCTGTCTCTTTACATATTCCACCTACTATTGGTGTGAGCCCAGCTGTACCCATCATTTGGAAAATCTTTTCTATGTATTTCTGCCTTTCCCTCTTATTTCAGATCTCACCGGTTTTCTTCCCTTACCTCTGTCTGTAAATTTCCCCCTCCCTCTCCTGCTGTATGTTCTCTGAAGTGTGTTGGAATACAGGTTGCTGTTATACATAATAGGGATGTGGATATAATAAACAATTACAAAGAGTACAGTCTCCAAAATGCATGTGGGGGGTGTAAATTAAGCTTTCTGTCTTTTAATTTTCACGTTGGTGTTTAAACAAGATGTTCTCTTTTGGATACTCATCTGTGCTTACAGTCAAATTAAATGGACATTAGCATAATTAGGTACAAATTTGATCACCTAAAAACAGGTAAAAAGGGAAAGTTTTGTGGAACAATATAGAAAAAGAATCTTGATTGCTACTCCTACCAGATGATAATTTTCATATAGTATTAATTTTGGATCTGAAAATATTGCCACTGTGTTTTTAATGTGATAAAGTCCACCTGACTGAATATTACAACTAATTAAATGTGGGAAAAACTAACCTTTTTCAAAAGTCTGTATATTTTTGAATGCATCAGAAAATACTTGCTTCCTCAGCATACACAGATACAGCAGACCAACTCGAACTGACAAGAAGTTCCAGATCTTTGGAGAGAAACTTGAAGACCCTGAGTAAGTTTGCTTAGTATTTCGAAAAGTATCATATTTTCACAGTTTGTAGGGTCGGAAGGGACCTGAGCA